AAGCAATACACCATTGCTTGATTTCTTGACTGCTGCTTCCATGAGCATTGTCTGTGGAGCTAAGTAAAATGAAATCCTTGACAACTTCAATCTTCTCTCCATCTGTCATAATGTTGTCTATTGGTCTACCTGTGAGATGTTTTGTTTTCTGTACATTGAATTGTAATCCATCCTGAAGGCTGCAGTCTTTGATTTTCATCAGTAAGTGCTTCAAGTCCTCTTTGTTTTCAGCCAGCAAGGTTGTGGCATCTGCATATCACAGGTTGGTAATGAGCCTTCCTTCAATCCTGATGTAGCATTCTTCGTCATATAGTTCCGCTTCTCAGATTATCTGCGCAGCCTATAGATTGAATGAGTATGATGGAAGGATACAACCCTGACACTGACTTCTCCCAATTTAAAAACACAGTTCCCCTAGATTTGTTTGAACGACGACCTCTTGGTCCATGTACAGGTTCCTCGTAAGCATAACTGAAATTCCTGTTCTTCTCGATGTTATCCATGCTCTGTTATGATCTAAACAGTCAGATGCCTCCACATGGTCAAGAAAGCGCAAGTAAACATCTTCTTGACATTCTCTACTTTTGACTAAGGTCAGTCTCACATCTGCAGAGACCCTTCATTCCATGTCCTCTTTCTAAATCCAGCTGGAATTTCTGGAAGCTCTTTGTTGATGTATTTTTGGAAACATTTATAAATTTTCTTCAGCAAAACTTTACGTGCATGTGCTATTAATGATACTACTCAATTATTTTCATATTGTGTTGAGCCATCTTATCTTCTGAAGGGGCCCAAATGTGGATATTTTGCCAATAATAATAACTCCCTGCCATGGGGTCAAATCTGACTCATAGCAGCTCTCTGTGAGTTTCTTAAACTGTGAATATTTCTGGGAGTAGAAAATCTTATCTTTTCCCCAGGAAGGAGTTAGTGGTTTTGAACTCCTGACCTTACTGTTAGCAGCCCAACATGTAACCCACTACACTGCCAGGGCTCCTATGCCTACAATGGATACTGTCAATCTCACCAGAGCTGCATAAAATGGATTCCAAGGAGAAAGATGAGTTTGTTTGTTTTTTTTAAAGTCGGGGGGAGGCAATGAGGATGATGTACAAAGGGGAAAACAAAACAAAATGTTGTTCACAACAAAACTCAAGTGGAAAAAAAGAAAATTAACAACAGTTGGATTTGGAAATTTGGTGCCTGGCAGATAGAGAAGCCAGTTCCAAGGAGTGAGTGCATGGTGCAGAAGGAGTGAATGGGCAGAGAGGATGGGGCATGGAAACCAAATATCACCTTCAAGATGATTGACCATGAAGGCCTGCAGATACACTGTGTCCAAAAAAGGTAACCCTGAAAGGAAGAGGTATACAAGTAGCTTATTTGGGAGATAATCAAGAAACAAGGTGGAGAAATGGGAGTGAGGTAGGGGATGGCAGGCAGCTGAGTGTGCATTAGCAAGCAGGTTACAGCTGTGGACAGCTGGTGCTCTAGCCTGCCATTACTGTAGTTAGCTCTCCTCCAGTCAGCCCCTACGCATGGTGCCTCCATGCACAAAGAGAGCAAATGCCGCCCCATCCCGTGGCATCCCACGATGACTTGCAGATAGGACTTTTGTGCTCCATAGGGTTTTCAGAAGTAAATTGCCAGATCTTTCTTCCAGTCTACTTTAGTCTGAAAACTCTTCTGAAACCTGTTCAGCATATAGCAACTTGCAAATCTCCATGGACAGTTGGGGTGGGTGGGGTGGAGGGTACCTGTACGTGAGGTCTGTTTGGAAGAGGAAAGCTCCATCACTTTATCACTAAATGCCTCTTCTATACAACCATACCTTGGAGATATTGTGGGCTTAGTTTCAAAGCACCACAATTGTGCTAGGTTCATTGTGCCAACTAGGACAATGGGAACATGGGAGTTAAGTTTAATTAGGTCACAGCTTGACTGGAGGACAGCCGAAATAAATAAAGACAGCTGGCATCCCAGTTCCCTCTTGTTCCCTGGTGATCGAACCAGTGTGTTGCTGCTTTGGTTCTCTGCCTCAACCTGTGTGCTACACTACCCGTGGGCCAAACCAACCCATAGATCGTGTTGCTAGAGCTTTTGGCTCCTTTGAGACCTGCTTCACCAAGCTGCTGGTTAGTACATTGCTTGAGCTTGAGGCTGGTGGATCCTATCACTGTGCTTGAGTTTGAGATCCAGTCAGGGCCTGCCTCACTCAACTTCTGAGCTACTGACTGTGCTGACCCACCCTGCTGTCTGCTGTCTGCTGCCTGTCTCAAGTGAGGAAAGACTCTACTCTCTGCTTCCTTGACCTTGGACCTGGCGGCCCAGGTGAGGTGAAGGACTTCCAGTATATTAATGGTTCCATGAAAGTGTGTTGAACTGAGCCCTCTGAACTGATGTATGGACTAATTAACTGTTATATTCCTTCTTGCTGTATAGACCTATCCTGTTATATATATAGATATATATAAAAATCATAAGTGTCCTGGTTTTGTTTCTCTAGAGAACACAACAATGAAGTGAGTACCTCAAGAAAGAGAGACCCACAATTATTTTTGCTTCACAGTACCTATAAAGACTATGCTTGCACTATACAGTGGTCTATTATATGTACAGTAGCATTATGAGAAAGTTTGAAATGTTGCGAGAATTACCCAAACATGACATGAAGTGGAAAAAATGGTTCCAATACCCTTGCTCCATGTAGGGGTGGTAGTTCATGATTCCATGCCAACCTGATAAATAGTGATGGGGTAGAGTCTAGCCTGTCAATCAGGTCACAGCCTGATGATGCCTCCTTGTGGACGTGGCCTTCTCACAAGCATTCTGGGACTTCCTTTCTTCCTCCTTGGAGATGGGACACACTCTCTCTCTGCTTGAGCTTATTGTTAACAAGCCACATGCAGCCACACCAATGGCAGCCAGAGCCCTAGAGATGCTTCCACCACCACTGGATCCACAAGACTTTCCACCCACCAACCTGGGATTTTCCTGCATTTGGCATCATTGCGTGTGCTGCAAGAGTCTGAGGAGGAATTTATAGACTAGTATCGGACATATGGGCTAATATCGGACTTATGGACTTGATCTGGGCTTGGCTGGACTGTTTTCTTAATGTACAATTACTCTTTGATATAAAGCTATCTGTTATATGAGTGTCTCTGGATTTATTTCTCTAGCCAACCTGGACTAACACAGTAGGGTTGCCACAAATAGTAACACAGTAGGGTTGCCACAATCCTATTTGTAAAAAGAATGCACTATCTGTGAAATGCAATAAAGCAAAGCACAATCCAATGAGCTGTGTCTGTTGTGCAGACCCAAATCAAGCAAATTCACTGCCTTCCAGGGGTTTCCAATTCACAGAGCCCCAATGGGTCAGAGCAGAAGTGTGCTGCTCGGCCCTAGGCTGTAAACCTCAACAAAAGAAGACACTCTGGTTTCTCTTCTGAGAAGCTGGTGGGTTTGAACCACAGACTTTAAGGTCGTAGCTCAGTGTCTAGCCCACACTGCTGTCAGGACTCCTTTCTGTACTGCAGAGGACCCTTGAAACACAGTGTCGGATCTATGCGTCCCAACAAATTTCCTAACAGAGGAGGAAGGTTGCACATTACCTGACAACGTCCTCCGCACTGAAGGAGGGCTGCCCACTTGTAAGGCCTGCCCCACCTCTGCACTGAGCAAGCTCCCTGCCGCCAGTGAACGCCCTCAGGTGGAGAGAGATGGAGGCCTGTGTGCAAAAGTACTAGTGCATGCCCCAGGTAACCGGGTTAAAGGGACAACGAGGAGGGAGCTATTATAAGATGCTATAGGGTCGCTAGGAGTCAGCATCAACTCGATGGCGGTGAGTGGGGTCCCAGCAAGGTAAGAAAGGAGTGAACCCTAAGGCCAGTGTGGAGCCCCGGTGATGTAGTGGGTTACGCCATCGGGCTGCTAACCGCAAGGCCTCTACAGAGAAAGGTGAGGCTTTCTATCCCCTAAAGGTCGTGGAAACTAACAAGGGCAGTTCCACTAATCTGTCCGGTAGGGTCGCTATGAGTCTAACTGACTTGATGGCAGTAAGTCTGGTTTGGTTTCTTTGGGGTAGGAAGTTGACAAGAAGTCGGGTGGAGCAGCTCAACACGGGTTGGGGGGTGGAGGTGGGGAGGAAGTCCAGGTCCCCTGTCCCCGCTCCTCCCACACCCCCCAGGCCGGTCCGGGACTACTGCACTGAGTGTGATGTTCCTCCCAAGGCCACCCAGGGGGCCCTCGACTCACAGGAAACCCAGTCACCGGAAGCACTCGGTATCTGTTGTCGCTAAGCAGGGAAAGAGGAATGGATCTTCACTTAGACACGGGATCGGGCCTGAGACCCTCTTGTTTGCATCCTTAAAACGTCCCTTTGCAAAGGTTAAG